TTTGGTTGGCTCTTCTGGGTCTCTTGCAATTCATGAGAACTTTAGAATGAGTTTGTCAGTTTGTACAAAGAAGTTAGTTGGAATTCTGATAAGGATTGTTCTGAATCTTTAGATCTTGGATATTGTTACCATCTTAACAATGTTAAATCTTCTGATTCATGAACATGGAATGTTTTCCCACTTATCTAGTCTTTAATTTTTCAACAGTATTTTAAAGTTTCCAGAATACACATTTTGAACTACTTTTAAATTTATTCCTAAGTATTTTATGATTTTTATCTTTTTGTTTTGGCTTGGTTTTTTGCATTGCTGGGGATCAAACCCAGGACCTCATGCATTTGTTATTTTATAATGCTGTTGCAAATGGAATTGTTTTCTTAATTTCAATTTTGGATTTCTCATTGCAAGTTTGTATACAGTATAATTGATTTTTGCATATTCGTCCTGAATCTTGCAACCCCAATGAACTTATTAGGTTGTGTCCGTTTTGTTTTGTTTGGGGAGGTACTGAGGATTGAACTCAGGAGCATTCAATCACTGAGCCACATCCTCAGCCCTATTTTGTATTTTATTTGGAGACAGGGTCTCACTGAGTTGCTTAGCACCTAGCTTTTGCTGAGGCTGGTGTTGAACATGCAATCCTCCTACCTCAGCCTCCTGGGGTTACAGACGTGCACTACCCGGCCTGCCCAATTATTTTTAATTCTATCCCCACTCCCCCATACTGTAAGTATCTGATACTCCTTCTCAGGGGAGTGCAGCTTTATGCATGCCCATAGTCACCCTAAGATGACCAGTACTGGTAGGACTCTCTTCCTTTTTGTCTGACCACACCCAGCTATTAAACTCCACTAATTGCCACTGACACACACCACTGATTGCTTTAATGCTTTCAACAATCCTCTGAGGCCTAAGTTCCTCTACAAGCTAATCCACACTGTCTTGTTAGATGGGATAATTTCTGAGGTCAGTGTTTGATATTTTCTCTAACCCCAGGGCATTCAGTTTTCTTATTCCTCAATTTTCTCCAGTGAATTGTCACCCTGTAGCCCAGGCTGTTTTCAATGGATTCACAAATCACCTTTCAATGGTCTTTCACCACAACCTCTGCTGCTCTTGAGAGTGCTTCCCCATCCTCTGTTACAAGTGAAGTCAGTGCATTTGGGAAGAGATCAGAAGCTGTCATACAACCTGCTTCTCTTCCCTCAGAGAGAATCTTTAAGCTCAGTGGCAAGCTTCTGCATGACACCTACTCTAGGAGCTGAGTTCTCAGTGAAGGAGGCAGCAGTCTCTACTGGAATGTAACCAGCACCCCACTAGCTGGGCTCCATCCCAGGGCCTTCTACATGCTAGGTAAACATTCTGTCATTGAGCTACACTCCCATGTCCAATTTTTCTCATTTAACATATTGGTGTTATGAATTAACTTGATGGATTTTCAAGTGTTGAACCAGCCTTGCATACCTGGTATAAATTCTACTTGGTCATGGTGTATATTCTTTTTATTCATTGCTAAATTTGATTTGCTAGTAATCCATTGAGAATTTTTGTACCTAAATTTATGAGATTCTGGTCTAGAGTTTTTGAGGGGTATATGTCAGGATACTGCTTGCCTTGTTTGTTTTTGGTACTGGGGTTGAACCCAGGGGTGCTGTACCCCTGAGCTATATCCTCTTTTTTTTAACAGCCCTTTTTARTATATTTTGAGACTGGTTTTCTCTAAGTTGCCCAGGCTGGCTTTGAACTTAAAATTCTCCTGCCTTACCCTCCTGAACAGCTGGGATTATAGGCATGAATAATTATGCTGGGCTACTGTTTGCCTTAAAAAAATGAATTAGGAATTGTTTCCTCCTCTTCGGTTTTCTGAAAGAGATTGTTTAAATTGGTTTTAATTCCAATTTAAATTTTTGGTATAATTTTCTAGTGGAAACAACCTAGCTCCTCCGACCCAATCACACCCCCCCTTTTTTTTCAGGGCAGGGGTTTGAACCCAGGGACTCATGCATGTTGATTTATTTTGAGGAGATTTGAAATTACAAATTCAATTCTTTGATAGTTATGGGACATTAGCTACCTATCTCATCTATTTTGAGTTTTGGGAATTTGTGATTTTCAAATAATCAGTTCATTACTTACAAATTGTTGAATTTATATACATCAAATTGTAGCATTCCCCTTGGTATCCTTAAAATGTTTGTAGGTTTCATAGCACTAGCCCCATTTCACTCCTGATATTGGTCATTTGTGTCTTTATTTTTGTTTGTCTTGCAAGAGTTTTAACCAATTTTATAATTTTTCAAAGAACCATGTTTTTATTTCATTGATTCCTTTTATCATCTTCCTGTTTTATATTCATTGATTTCTGTCTTTATTTTACTATTTCCCTTCCTTCTGCTGTGTTGGTTTATTTTGCTCTTCTTTCCTACTTTCTTTTTTCTATTTTTTGTTTGGTTTGGGTTTTTTGGCAGTTTTGGAGATTGAACCCAAGGCCTTGTGCACACTAGACAATTGCATTACCACTGAGCTACATCCTTAGCCCCCCTTTTCCTGATTTCTTGATATAGGAAATCAAATTGTTGGCATRAGACATTTCTTCTCTTATAATTGCTGCAAATATTCTTTCCTGCACTGCTTTGGCTACATAGTACATATTTTGGTATTTTGTGGTTTTATTTTCATTTAGTTCCATGCCAAAAAAATTTTTTTCCTTGGATAATTCCTCTGGCCCATGAATTATTTAGAAGTGTGTTATTGAGTGGGCTAGGATTGTGGCTCAGCGGTAGAGCACTCACCTAGCATGTGCGAGGCCCTGGGTTCCATCCTCAGCACCACATAAAAACAGATATTTAAAACAAAGGTTAGGGCTGGGGATGTGGCTCAAGCGGTAGCGTGCTCGCCTGACATGCGTGTGGCCCGGTTCGATCCTCAGCACCACATACAAACAAAGATGTTGTGTCTGCCGAAAACTAAAAAATAAATATTAAAATTCTCTCTCTCTCTCTTAACAAAAATAAAAAAAGAAGTGTGTTATTGAATTCTCAAGTGTTTAGGGATCTTCCTGTTGTCTTTCTCTTAGTTGATTTCAAGTTTGAGTTCACTGGTACAAGTATATGCTCCATTTTGTTTGTTTAGGTTGGGTTTTTGGTCTTTGCATTACTAAGGATACTCTACCACTGAGCTACATCCCTGGCCCTTTGTATTGTTTTTATTTTGAGGCAGGGTCTGGCTAAATTTCTGAGGYTGGCCTTGAACTTGTGATCATCTGGCCTCAGTCTCTTGTATCACTGGGAATGTCCAGCACACCTAGTGATAGTTTCTTTTTGTTGTGGGATCTCCCTTACTAGTTCCCTACCCCCTCTCCCTGCGCCAGGAGCCTCTGAGTAGAGTTGGGGAGGAAAGCAGCATGTTTTCCAACATGCCTCCTTGCCATGCTCAGCTGGTGGTGTCAGCAGGCCTTCACTTCTGTATGGGAATGAAGAAATCTACCTGGTTCTCCTGTTGGTAGATTGAGGTAAGGAAATGCCAGGCCTAGGTCGCCTACTGGGAAGACGCTCTACTAGCTATGCTGTTCACCTGATCCCTCACCAGCTCCCCTTCATTTCATCTTTAAGGATTCTACTTTGGCTTTCTCTTTTATGCCCTGGATTTATAGTTTTCCAGGGCATTTATAGGGAATTTGATTTCTAAGAATCCATGATATTTTCATGATAGGCATGTGTCAGGGCAGCAAGCTTAGAATTCAGCTAAGAAAACAGGAGAGCATTCACAGGAGGAGGAGATGGAAATGAAGATCCTTACGTAAAAGATGTAAAGGAAAGGCGGAAGAAAGTTGCACACCAGCGGGAAAAATGGATGGACTGACAGCAACTAAGAGGAATGCAGGGTAGATGTGCAGCGCTGGGCCTTGGGGCAGGTTCTGAGGAGTCGGGGATAGACCTGACTTCCTGAGCTTTGTGATAGAATCAGAAGAATGAGGAAGTTGGAGGCTCCCTCCCTGCTTGCCACAATGGCTGCTCTTGATTTTTTTCTACCCCAGTTCAGAAATGACAATGTGTCATTCATCGGTCTCTCAGTGCCTGGCACCGTGCGGGGAAGTGGGGTGGTGAATCTAGGCGGTGCAGCAGCCTGAGTGGAAGCAATCGCGCATTTCAGAAAAACCAAGGGGCGGGGCGGGCTTCATCCTTGGAGGTGTGGCAGGGGCAGCTGCCAGGAATGGAAGGAGGAGCTTTTCTTTTCTTTTCCTCCCCATGCCTAGAGAACTGAGGGGTGAAGGGGTGGGAGCAGATCATCACGCTGCCAGGAAACCCAGAGACCCAGCTTGGCCCAGGAGCTCGTCTGGATCCACCTTCCCCGCTGTGCTCTCTTAAGCTCCATCTCTGGTTGCCACAGAGACTGGAGGCGGTTGCCATGGAGACCGACGACTGCAAGGACCAACCAATCAGTCCAAAGCTGCGGCTCCAACTCATCTTTTGGATGCAGGCATCAAGCTGGGCGGGGTTCCCTCCCCACTCCGGGCCTCCTGTGCCCTTCGCCTAGTCAGAGAAGGGTGGGCTGTCTCTGACAGTATCTCCCTGAGGCTCCTCCCCGGTCCCTGAAACCTTGGTTCTAGAGACGCCTCCGCCTATTCCCAGCTAAGGGGTGATGCCACCTGGGAGGTGTCCAGACCCCGAATGTCTTAGAATCCCTCCTTGGTAAAGGGAGGGGGATGCTGCGGGAAAGGCTGGGCGGGGCGCAGGCGCCCCAGGCCTGCTCGGATTCGTACACCACAGGAGGAAGACCTCAACCGGTTGGGTAGGGAGGGAGCACCCCCCACCCGCGACATTGCGCTCCGCAGTGCCTGGCTCGCCCGCGCACGCTCACTCAGGCCGCTGGGCGGGCGGGGCTGCGCTTACGTCATCCACACTCCGCTCCCCCTCCCCGCCAGCTGAGGGGCGGTGGCCGCTCAGGCTACGCCGGGCGGCTGTACGGACAGACGGACCGAGGGACAGAGGGACAGGCGGGCGCACGTCGAGGCCATGCCCGGGGAAGCTGCCCGCGCCGAGTTACCGCTGCCTGAGGCTAGTGGGCCTGGGCCCCGCACAGGTGAGACCGCGGCCCCTCTCCTCTCCGGCCCAATTCTCTATCCGGCCTATTCCCTCCTTCATCCCTCTGCCTCGCTCGCTGGCCAGTCCTAGTCATTTCCAAGCTCTGCCCTTCCCTACACTCGAATCCTGACCCCCACTCAGGACTTAGGGCAAGAGCGGGATGGGACTCAGGGAGTGCTCCTGCGAGCCAGAAGCGACGTGGGGACCTGCGCCCTTGGCCTCTGACCCTGGGGTCTTTGGGCTCCCTGAGCTCCTGGTCCGCTGGGCTCCTCCCGCCTGTTCTGGCAGCCGCGCCCCGCTGGCGTCCCATTGTCCGTGCAGAGCTATCAGCCTCCAGGTCTGAAGGCTACGGGTTCGGGTTCGGAAGCGGGAGGCCTATGGGGTCCCTGCACGCTGATCCGGCGCCCACCCAGACAGTCCTCAACTGCAGCCTGGGCTTCCAAGGGCTGGGGACTGGCCAGGCACAGGAGAGAGGAGCAGAACTTCTGGCAGGAAGGCCAGAGGGAGAGCAACTTGGGGGAGAAACAGCAGATCTGGGTCTGGAAGGTGGGAGGCCCTGGGGAGGTGGCCTCACCAGCAACGCCCCATTGTGCMGACCACCGGATCCCTGGAAAGGCTGGGTCAACAAATGTTGGTTTAGACTATAGGTCGGTCCACTTGGCCTGGGCAGTCAGAGCCTGGATGGTTTCTGCTGGGAGGTTGGCCATGTGTGGCTTGGGCAGGCCAAGGGCACCTTGCTGTGAACAAGAAGTCACCTGGGCTGTCGACAGTGTAGGGTCAATGGCATGGCTATGAGGTGACACAGTTATCACCTCTGCTCTTGGGAAACAGGCAGTCCAGGATGAGACTCCACAGAAACAGGATCATGTGCTGGCTCTGTTCTGGCTTGTTTGGTGACCTTGAATGAGTCACAAAAAAACTTTGGCCTTTTCTTTTCCTTCCATTCTAACCTTGGCCAATTCAGCCCTTCTCCTATCCTGGAGGCATATCAGGGGTCAGTGCAGTGCAGTTTTAGAGCACCCAATTTTGCCCACCAGCCACACCCACTCCCACTGTTGGATATCAGGTGTGCCACAAGGGACCTGAAGGAGCTCCCTGTCTCTCAGGACCCCCTGGCTTATCCAGCAGCTCAGCCCTCAGTTGATGAGCTCTCAATGCCCTGAGGCTGCTGAGGGCAAATCCGGCAGCCTGGCAACGAAGCTGCACCTTCTTAGACTTCACCACTAATCCTATTTGATCTCCACTTTGTAGGAGAGAAAGCCGAGGTGCAGGCAGTGTTGTCCTGTCACCAGTGAGCATGGTAGAGCAGTCATCCCTCGGCAAGCATCAGCCTTGGAGCCCAGCCCCTATGAGCAGCCCCTCCCCCTCTTGAGCAGGACTTGGCCTGGACTGGGGTGGGGGACTAGGAGGGCCTTCAGCAGATGCTTCAAATAGAAGCATCTTTGGCTTTGGTGGAGGTGAAAAAGGGAATGTTACAAGGCCATTAAAAAATGAGGCTTATGAGCACTTGGCACACATGGGAAAAATGCTTATGAGATAATATCTGGTGAAAACCGCAAGATTCAGAAGTGCATATACAGAGTGACCTCAGTGATGATAAAATGCCAGTCAGCAAGAGACCAGGAGGTAGCAAACCAGCAGAGTGTTGTGGTAAGGCTTGCCAGGGGTGTTCTTTCACTTTGCTGAGTGCCCTAAGTGCTTTCTGATCCATGTTACTTCATGGTGTATGTGTGAAGGGACTTTTCAGCTGGAGGTGTGTCAGCCCATGGAGGTTTTCTGAGCACCTGTAGCCTCCTCATGGGGGCTCCTTAGGACCCAGAGAAGGGCTACAGGGCAGGACCTAGCTCCCAGTCCCAAGGGAGAATTTGGCACTCATCATGGAATGGCTGCTACTCTGGGGAGCACTGGACCAGGGGCTCCACTAGCCCTCCTGTAGCTGTCCTGCTCCCACTGAGTTGCATGATCACCATTATTTCCCAYTACTGCCTTTCTAGATGGATGCTCCAATTCAGTTTCTGTGGGAAACACCTGTCTCCATTCTTCAGAAACTTGACTGCATTCAGAGCCCCTGGTTTCCCTCCTCCCATATGCCACAGGGAGCAGCCCAGGCACAGGGCCCTGAGGGGACAGGTTGACCTCAAGTGTTGGCAGCAATATAGGAGAGAGATGGGCCAAAGAGGCAAAGCCCGTATTTTACAGTAGGCATATGTGAGACCTATAATGTTCCAGAGCTGTGCAGTGTGGGAGGGCCCACGCTCCTGCCATGGGAAGGCACTGTCCAGCAGATTCTGATTGCTATCCACTCCAGCTAAGCCCAGCTAAATCATACTGATTAACTAGAAAGGAATCAGCAATCTAGTCTCAAAAAAAAAAAAGATGGAAATGCTAGTTGCATCTTTGCTAAAGTGTCCCCAAGAAAATCCTGAGTTTATAATACACACAGCAACACTGCCTGCAAGCCCCCATTCTGCAAAGCTACTGTCAACAGTTCTGTTCTCTGTCAAAACCCCTGGAAATTTTCCCTTAAATGCAACCCACACCACCATTCTCTTCTCCCTCCTGTCTTCCCCAACCAGCTCTCCACTGGGCCTCTTTCAATGGACATCTGTTTCCCATCCCATGCTCAGCTCTTCACCTCACTTGGTCTGGAGATGTGTCTGGGTGCTTCACGTTCTTCTCTGTCTCCACAGAGCTCTCCTGTGATGCAGCTGCTGCCACCATCCTGAGAGAGGACCGGCAGGAGCCCCATGCCCTGATCCCAGAGCCCAGCTCCCTGACCCTCACATTCCTGCCCAGCAAGCCAGGTGCCCGGCCCCAGCCTGAGGGAGCCAGCTGGGATGCAGTGCCTGGTGGGGCCCCTTCAGCCTGGGCAGACCCAGCGGAAGGCAGCCCAAACCCAACACTCCTCTCYGAGGGCCCCCTCCCACAGGCTTTGCCTGATGAGGGTCAGCCCCCTGAGGCTCTGCTCACTAAGGGCCCTCTCCCTGCCACTCTGGAGCCCCGGATTGTGATGGGCGAGGAGACATGCCAGGCACCCCAGTCACCCAGGGCAGGCCTACCAGTGCTCAGGGATCAGGAGGGTGGGCTCACCAACCTGTACCCACCTCCCGAGCTGTATTCTCAGGGTGATCCTCCTGTGCCTTCCCCTCCCCCAGACCCTGATTCCTACTTCACCCCTCCCTCCACTCCCACCAAGACAACCTACATCCTGCTTCCCAGCCATGGGCCCCATAGGGACACCTGGGACCCAGAGGATGAGCTGCTGGATGAGCTGCTGGACTCCCCACCTGCCTCGCCCTCAGGCTCATACATCACGGCAGATGGGGACAGCTGGACCTCATCACCATCCTGTTCCCTCAGCCTGCTGGCCCCAGCTGAAGGGCTGGATTTCCCCTCAGACTGGGGCCTCTCCCCACAGGGGTCTGTAGCAGATGAACAAGAGCCCCATCCCACTGTGCCTCCCGAATCCCTATCTTCTGAGTCTAGTCTTTCAGCAGACAGTAGCTCTTCCTGGGACCAGGAGGGCCACTTCTTCGACCTGGACTTCCTAGCCAATGACCCAATGATCCCTGCAGCCCTCCTGCCCTTCCAGGGCAGCCTCATCTTCCAGGTGGAGGCAGTRGAGGTGACACCACTGCCCCCAGAAGAGGAGGAGGTGGCAGCTAATGTTCCTGCTCCAGATGGGGACCTGGCCGGAGAGGGTGAGGAGGATAGCACATCTGCCTCCTTCCTGCAGTCACTATCTGACCTGTCCATCATTGAGGGCATGGATGAGGCCTTTGCCTTCCGGGATGACACCTCTGCGGCCTCCTCTGACTCGGACTCAGCCTCCTATGCAGGGGCAGATGATGACAGGCTGTATAGTGGGGAACCCCATGCCCAGCCCAGTGCCCTGCTGCAGGACAGTGCCCAGAAGACAGAGAAGGAGCATAGAAGGGAGACTGCTTTCTGGAGCCCAGAGGCCATCAGAACAGTAACCAACCCTCAGGTCTCAGAGGGAGAGGCTCATCTCGCCCACAGCCAGGAATCAACTTCAGAAATGGAAGAAGGCCTTGCTTTAAGCCAAGAGTCTGAAACTACTGTGACCCCTCATGCTCTGCAGGCAGCCCTAGGCCTTCAGATGGAGGCAGCTTCCAGGGTGCCCCCTCAGGTTGGTGAAGAAGAAGCTGACTCTACCACTGGACAAGCACCTGCCACCAGGGCACTGCCTCAGCTTTCCAAGGAGGTGATAAGTGCTACCTTAGGTCAGGAGCCCATCATTGTAGAACCACAACCAGTTCTTCAAGAAGCAGCAAGTCCCACCTTGTACACAGAGCCTCCTGAGAACTCAAAGGAAGAGGACCGAGTTCTCCCCTCAGGCCTGGAGACTGTAGTTGCAGCCACACAGGGGCTCCAGCAGGCTGAAGGGGGTGTCATTCTACTCGAGGACTCTCCTGAGGCAGCACTTTCACCCCTTCAGGAAGCAGATCCCACCTCAGGCCTAGAGCCTATGGCTGGGGCCACACCAGAGCCCCAGCAGCCTGAAGAGATTGTCACCATACCCCAAACGCTTCCACCCCTGAAAGATGCAGATTCCACATGGGGCTTAGAGACCGTGGCTGGGGCCATAACAGAGCCCCAGCAGGCTGAAGGGAGGGTCACCATACCCCAGGATCCCACTGAGACAGAACTTCCACCACTGCAAGATGCAGATCCTACCTTGGGCCTAGAGCCTATAGTGGCAGCCACACCAGAGCCTCAGCAGGCTGAAGAAAGTATCACTATACCCCAGGACTCCCCTGAAACAGAACTTCCACCCCTGCAACATGCGGAATCCACCTTAGGCCTAGAATCTGTGTCTGGGGCCATAATAGAGCCCCAACAGGCTGAAGAGTGTGTCACCATACCCCAGGACTACACTGAGACAGAACTTCCACCYSKGCAAGATGCAGATSCCACCTCAGGCCTGGAATCTGTGGCTGGGGCCATAACAGAGCCCCAGCAGACTGAAGAGTGTGTCATGATACCCCAGGACTCCCCTGAGACAGAACTTCCATCCCTGCAAGATGCAGGTCCCACCTCGGGTCTAGAGCCTGTGGCTGCAACCACACCAGGGCCCCAGCAGGCTGAAGAGAGTGTCACTGTACCCCAGGACTCCCCTGCGACAGCATTTCCACCCCTGCAAGATACAGATCCCATCTTGGGCCTAGAACCTCTGGCTGAAGCCACACCAGGGCTTCAGCAGGCTGAAGAGTGTGTCACCATACTCCAGGACTCCCCTGAGACAGAACTTCCACCCCTGCAACATGCAGGTCCCACCTCAGGACTGGAGTCTGTGGCTGGGGCCATAACAGAGCCCCAGCAGGTTGAAGAGGGTGTCACCATACCCCAGGACTCCCCTGAGACAGCATTTTCACCCCTGCAAGATACAGATCCCGCCTTGGGCCTAGAACCTCTGGCTGAAGCCACACCAGGGCTTCAGCAGGCTGAAGAGTATGTCACCATACTCCAGGACTCCCCTGAGACAGAACTTCCACCCCTGCAAGATGCAGATCCCACCTCAGGCTTAGAACCTCTGGCTGAAGCCACACCAGGGCCCCAGCAGGCTGAAGAGAGTGTCACCATACTCCAGGACTCCCCTGAGACAGAACTTCCACCCCTGCAAGATGCAGGTCCCA